ACCCGATCCAAAAAAAAAAATGACGTGCATCAAGGTCCTATTATGTTTAATGTATGTACCAAATTTGAACGAAATCCGTCCATGCATAACTGAGATCCGGGTCCGGAATGGTGAAAATGTGCGATTTTGATGCATTTTCGGCCTTAAAATGGCCGCTATTTGGCTATCGTTAATCAGATCATGAAAAAAATGCATGTGCATATGTCCCATATAATGTGTGATGTATGAGTGAAGTTTGAACTTAATCGGTCCATGCATGTTCGAGATACAGGTGATCACGGACGCATGGACGCACACAGGGCAAAACATAAGTCCCCGTTTTCGGACTGCGTCCGAACGGGGACTAATAATATCAGCACACCATAATATAGGTATAGTTATGTCTGCAATTCTGTAGATTAAAATTACAAGTTTCTTGATTCTGTAAATAGAAACGTCTTCTCTATCATGTATTTTTCTATGATGCAATGTGTGAAACTGAGTGAAAACATTTGTTTTGAGATAGTGATATTTGAGAAAAGGTTGTAGTAGCTATACATGTACAGTAAATAAACTAGGTAAATAAACCGTACAAAACAATTTCCCAGATTTCATAACTTCATTGAAATATGACTGCATCTAAAACAATAAGAAATCACCTGTCTTTTTCTTTCTTTCTCTCTGTTTTGAGCGTGTCGAAGTTGTTCTTTCATTTTCTTCTCTTCTTCTTGCATGCGTTCCAACTCTTTTTGCACCTGAAGACAACATACAAGTACATGTACTAGTAAATGATTCAATTGTATATGACCCACTAGGTGTTCTTAAAAAGGGATATACACTTAATTTGGGAGAGGGCAATGAAGGGTAGGGCTAGGAGTTACAGTTAGGATATGGATGGGGTGCAATTTAAAATCTTGTTGTAAATGGTATTCAAATTTATTATGACAAGATTGCATACCTTCCACGCATTTAATTTTTCCATTTTTTCTATTTTTTCCTTCTCCATTTGTTGAGCTTTTTTCTGCTTTGTTTCTTCATCATCACTGCTCTCAATATCATCTTCACCAACCTTAGATATCAACTCCTCCTTCTCAGCCTGAAAGAAGAAATCAAAGTAAGCACTCCTGTGTGCTGAAGATATTGAAGGCATGAGTACAAATAAGGAATAGTGTATTTACCATATATTTACATTTAAAACATTTGTTCTATAATTGTAGCAAATACAGCAATGTTCAGGGTGGTTTCAAGTTATTAAACAAATATAAATGGTTTAACAACTCAACTCTGCTTGCTCATTGACAAGTCAATGTATGACTTAATATTTTGGTAATATATCTTGTCAGATAACAAAATTATAGCACCAGTTGCATGTCCCTTTCTGCAACAGTACATTAGATATTATAGTTATGCATTTATTGAGGTCACATCGTCATCTAAATATTAGTCATATCACATTGATCTCAACTAAAAGCTAATCAGGTTTGTGCATTATCCCAGTGTACATGTATCTATGTACCATGTTTCATCAAAACCTGTTGAATGGTACTTGAGAAACAAGTGACAATGCTTAAAATTTGCTAATTAATAAGCAAATTAGGGTATTAATATGAACTAGACTTTAACCAAAAACTAATCAGGTCTGTGCAATATCTTGTGCCTCAAGATTCCTTTAAAATCCGTTGAATGGTTCTTCAGAAAAAAATTTAAAATCTTAAATTTGGCTAATTAATATGCAAATTAGGTAATTAATATGCACTAGACTTTAACCAAAAACTAATCAGGTCTGTGCAATATCCCAGGGCATCCATGTATCAAGTTGTACCAAGTTTCAAATCTGTTGAATAGTACATGACAAACAAATGAAAATGTTTAACATTGGCTAATTGATATACAGATTGGATAATTAATGTGCATGGATTCACAAACTAATCAGGTCTTCGCAATATCCCAGGGCATCTATGTACCAAGTTTCATTGAAATTTGTTGAATAGTACATCAGAAACAAATGAAAACACTTAAAGTTGGCTAATTAATCTGCAAATTAGGTAATTAATATGCACAGGGCATCTGTGTATCATGTTTCATTGAAATGTAATGATTAGAACTTGAAATAACACACACACAGACAGACACACTAACTGCAATGACTCCCATTGTGTGCATCACACACGAAAGTCAAAAACTGACATTTGTATCTACAGTGTTATAATAAGTACCAACCATGGTTAGTAAAAAAGACAGTTAAAAGGTGTGTGCCTAATCCCTCGAGAATGCGTGTCACGCTGTATACACCC